GGAAACATGAATGGGGTTTAGACTGTCATTGTTGCTCCCACACTGGAAATAGTCGTGGTATTGTTATATTATTTCACAACTGTTTTGAATATACTATTCATCGATATTTAACGGATGAGTTTGGCAATTTCATTATTCTTGACATTACAATTTAGAATAAAAAATTAACACTTGCATGTATATATGGTCCGAATACTGACTCTTCTGAATTTTTTCACCGTCTGAAAAGAAATATTGACTTCTTTGATAACGACTCGGTTATTATTACTGGAGATTTCAATGCGGTTATGTCTTTTGAAAAAGATACACATAAATATTCTAGAGAAAACAACAAAAATGCAAAGACATCTATACTTGACATTAAGGAAAAATTAGACTTAATTGATATTTGGAGAAATCAACATCCAGAGGTAAAGAGATATAGTTGGTTTGGTCCAGGTGGAAAATGTAGCCGTTTAGATTACTTCCTTATATCATCTGATCTTCAGCCTCTTGTCACTTTTTCAGATATAGGTATTAAATATAAATCAGATCATGCACCAATTATTGATAAGTTAAAACTATATAACCATGAAATGGGACGAGGAACGTGGAAATTCAACAATGCATTGCTGCATGATAGAAATTATATTGAAAATGTTAAAAGTGTAATAAACCATGTTCTTAATTATTATGCAATCGGTGAAATAAAAGATAACAATTTTTACAATGCAAGTTTTTCAGTAAATTATCAACTCCTGTGGGAAGTTATCAAATTGACTATAAGGGGGAAAACTATAGCATATGCAAGTTGGAAAAATAAGACAAAGAAAGGAAAACTTTTGAAATTGGAATCAGAAATTTTGAAATTACAAACCGCCCCGTTGATTTTTGAAAATCAAGAAACCTTAAATATTTTGGAAGCAAAAGAATTGGAACTATATAATTTCAGGGAAGAACGAATACGGGGACTAATGATCAGAGCAAAGGCTAGGTGGAATATGGAAGGGGAAAGGTGCACAAAATATTTTTGTCGTTTAGAAAAAAGAAATTCTACCGAAAACCCGATTCCAAAACTAGTTCGCAATGATGGTTCCATAATTACCAATATTAAAAACATCTTACAAAAACCTGTAGAACTCCACTAATCTAGATAAAACTGATGATCAAAAGAATACTTTTTTTTTGTAATGATAATCCATTTATTAGTAACTTTTCAGACGAAGAAAAAGGTCTTTGTGAAAGTGAAGTGACTGAATCAGAATGTGCAAAAGCTCTCTTTAAAATGAACTAATCTCCGGGTCTGGATGGCTTTTCCGTTGAATTTTACTAGCTTTTTTGGAAAAATTTAAAACGTTTTCTTATTAATTCAATTACGTATATTTTCGAAAATATACAATTATCAATTACTCAAAAACAGGGAGTAATAACCTGCTTACCAAACAAAGCAAAAGATTTTTTAAAGAACTGGTGCCCATTTCGCTACTGAACGTAGATTATATAATTATTGCCAGTGTAAATAACATCACCAGCGACACACAAAAGGGTTTTCTTAAAGGAAGATACATAGGCGAATGCACAAGAACTATTTATGATTTAATCGAGAAAACAGATCAGAAAGATATAGCTGGAATATTACTTTTAATCGATTTTGAAAAGGCCTTTGATACGGTGGAATGGGATTTTCTCGATAGAACTTAAGACTTCTTTGGTTTTGGTAGCAATTTTAAAACATGGATAAAACTTTTTTATAGTGACGTCACCAGTTGCGTAATAAATAATCATTTTTTTTCCCGATCAAAAGAGGTGTGCGTCAGGGTGACCCTCTGTCGCCATATTCGTTTATCATGGTAGTAGAAATACTAAGTGCTACATTAAAATGTTCAGATATAAATGGCATTAAAATAGGTGAAACTGAAAATATTGCGAGTCAGTATGCGGACGATTCTACTATTAGTCTTGAAGATGATGATACTTCATTGAAAACAACTTTAGATATTTTAGATTCATTTGGCAAATGTTCTGGTCTTAGAGCAAACTATGATGGAAAAGGGTTAGCCACGAAAAAATATGTGCTGAAAGAGGATTAAAATGGAATTTTACTGGAAAATTTAAACTCCTTGGTATCAAGTACGATCTTAGTAAAACTGATACAACTTCTGTTAATTATGATGATAAAATGCGAAGTTACTCGTATTCTAAAAAACTTCCAAAAATCCATAGCTGGAAAAATAACCGTTGTTAAGTCACTTGCTATCCCTATTCTCGTGCAATTATTTACAGTTTTACCAAACCCACCGTGCCATATTGTTCAACAAATAGAACACATCTGTTTTAGTTTATATGGAATGATAAAAAAGACAAAATTAAGAGGACTACGTTAAAACATAGTTACGAAAACGGTGGAATGAAAATGATAGATATAGAAAGTTGTATTTAAGCTTTAAAATTTACTTGGATAAAGAAAGTACTCGATCCTCAAAAGATATCTCCCTGGAAACTACTTCTGTTAGATCAATTAGAAAAATATGAAAACATTCTCTCTTATGTTAAAAAATATATGACAAAAATTGTTGAAAACTTCAACGGCTTCTGGACAGATGTGTTTTTAGCTTGGAGTACGTTAAATTTAGAACGTGAAAATGCAGAATACTACTTGTCGCAGCTAATTTGGTTTAATCACAATATAAAAATAGATAATAAGACAGTATATTTCCAAACATGGCAAGAAAGGGGTATCAATAAGATAGCAGATTTATTTGAAAACGATGGCAATATTATGACCTTTCGGAAATTTCAAGAAAACTTTAATTTTCCGGACATGAACAGAATCCGTTTTTATGGTGTTATTACAGCCATCCCAGCGTCGTGGAAAAGGTCAATTCGTAATCGGGGCAGTAATTATATTAGAGATAAAGAAAATATAACGCTTATAAGAACGTTGACGAAACCCACCAATATATTTTATTCAAATTCAGTTTCTACAATTTTAACTACAAACCAAAAAGCAATGGAAAAATGGTCTCAAGACATTACAAATTTAGATATTAACTGCAATTTTATTTACTCGATACCAAAGAGTTGCACTCATGATGTCATTTACAAAATTTTCAGTATAAAATCTATCACAGAATACTATGCACAAATACGCTTCTGTTTAAATTTGGTATAAAAGATGATAAAAAATGTACTTTCTGTAACTATGGAGATGAAGATATGTATTATCTTTTATGGCAATGTATTCATGTGTGCACTATTTGGAGAACTTTTTCAGACTTACTATATGTAAAATGTAATATAGAAATTGAAATAAGTACAAAGGACGCCATCTTAGGTTACTCCGGCGAAAACAACAACACATTGCTAAATTTCTGCTTTTTGATAAGAAGACGATACACATACATCTGCAAATGTAAGTCTAGTATACCGTCAATAGAAGGTGTCTTAATATTTTTAAAACACCATCGAAAAATGGAATATTTAGCTAACAAATTATACAGATCAAAAAAAGTTAACGAAGTAACTGAAAAAAGGCGCCCATTGGAACAGTAATTTAACTAATTAGCAATTACCTGAAACAAGAAAAAGAAAAAAAAGTAATGGTAGAAAGAAACTGTATTGTTTAACAATTACTATTGAAATGATATAAATGATCATGTAAAATGTTGTACTGGCTTTGTGCGAACCAAAAGAAATAAAAAATATTCATAACAAAAAAAAATTAGATACCTTTTCACAATCCCATAATATATGTGTTATTATTTCTGGATGAGTTTTACAAAAAGTGCACATATTATTATCTAATTTACCAATTTGAAATTTAAAAAAAAGTTTGTGGTTGTATTGGGTGTATTGGCAGACGAGGCTAGTACCTGTGGATGAATTAAACTGTCAGCCAAATTTTAAAGCCTAGTTATGTACAGTCAGTACGACGGATCAAAGCACATGTCAAATGATCTGAAAAAATCCCTGATCTGTATTCAACGGATGTGAAAATAATCTCAATTGCATGCATACAGCGACGGTCACATTAACTGTTTTTGTTTAATGTCCATCAAACAAATGACCTGTAGGCCATTTGTCGTTCCTGAAGTATATCCCGAGTTTCGCTAGCCCTGACCACATAGGGGCACGGTTCCCGTGCCCTGCCTGCCTGGCATCATATTTGACACATCCGACACGACGTCAACGTTTTGCTAAGTTCTGAGGTGCTGACAGCAACAATCTGTTATAACAAAACACATACCTCAAATATATCAATAAATTGATTATTTATTGATCCAAAACCAGCCTTATTATCACCGACAGCTGCTACATTCCGTCAGTAGAGACCTCGTTCAAAATTTCCCACCTGAGTGACGCCATATTGTTTCCAGACCGCTGCTTTTTATTGATAAGCCACTTTTCAAAAATGGCCGCCGCAAAGTTTGATGAGCAGACGTCAGGTCGTCTAAGCGTTTGATCTGAGAAGGAAAATAAAAGGAGTAAGCATGTTCATGATAAAGACTTTTTAAAAATGGCAGCCGCGAATGATTTGATGAGCAGACGTCCGGATAAAATGTGGAATAATGTAGCTTTTTCCGCTATTAAAGTTGTTCTGCATCAAAAACAGTTGGAATTTTAAAGATATCTCATTTGTTATTTTTTTTTTTATTAATATTACACATATTATGTTTAATTATTCTTTCAATAGCTTTCAATCGTTTGGGGAACCTCATTACAATTAGAACTTGTTGTTCTTCTTCTTCTTCTTTTCGTAGTTCCGCTGTACAATTTATTTTGTCCGCTAATTTTCTCATAAACGTTTTATTTTGATTCCATTGAAACTTCACATGAGTTTTGGGGCGTGTGCCTAGATGTGCAAAACATTTTGTTCACACCTGCGCACCTCTGATTGCTCAAATTTCATATATAGGTCTATTTGGGCAACGCGAACATAACTGCGGGGGTTTGGAATACTTATGTTATGGTTCCCCATTACAATAAGTACTTGTTTACTAAATTTATGACAATGTTTTCAGACTGTGCATACATGGATAAAGACACATACAGAATGCTCATTCCTACGGCATGGATACCATTCATTGATACAAACATCGAAAACGGATGTATGGAGGTAAGACTGTCTGTCGTATGTTTTTTGTACATGTACGACCCGATCTGCCTTGACTCCGATACACCAATCTTTCTGTAGAATTATCTATCTGTCCTGTCGCGCTCAGTGGATATATTTTTCTGTCTATCTATCTGTTGGTCTATGTGTCAACCTGTAAATGTGTAAATGTCTGTAGCAAATATCTGATCCGGTAATCATGGTACTATTCTTCAGTTTGTAAAAGGAGGTCACAGACTTGGTAAGGTGGCCACCCACCAGTGTTGTCACGGTGGCACATGGTACACTATTCTAGAAGAAGAGGAGATGACGAAGACGTTAGGTGAGTACTGTTGTTTGATTAAAGATTCGCATTTGTGCTTCCTTACTTTGTATGTTTAGTGGTTGTGTCATTCTGGCAAAATACTAGATTTTCTAACCAACTCAGTAAGTTAAAAGGTTTCTTTGCTAATTTTGAAGAGGATCAAACTAGTAAACCGGAGGTCTCGGGCTCGATGCCTTAGCTAATGCAGTGACAGGTTCCGATGTATGGAAAATATTGCTAACAATAATCATCATTGCTCTCACAAGTATCGCTGTTTCATGCAAACACTCCCGTAACAGTTGACCCATCAGATAGATTATCGGTCCCCGAGGGTGGCCGTTACCTTTTAGATGGACTATCAGTCCCAAAGATTGGCCGTGACCTTTTAGCTGGACTATCAGTGCCCGAGGTTGGCCGTAACCTTGTAGTTGAACTATCAGTCCCCGAGGTTGGCTTTAAGCTGGACTATCAGTCCCCGAGGTTGGCCGTAACCTTTTAGCTGGACTATCAGTCCCCGAGGTTGACAGTAACCTTGTAGCCGGACTATCAGTCCCCGAGGTTGGTTGTAATCTTGTAGCTGGACTATCAGTTCCCGAGGTTGACTGTAACTTTTAGCTGGACTATCAGTTCCCGAGGTTGGCCGTAACCTTGCAGCTGGACTATCAGTCCCCGCGGTTGGCCGTAACCTTGTAGCTGAACTATCAGTCCCCGAGGTTGGTTGTAACCTTGTAGCTGGACTATCAGTCCCCGAGGTTGGCTGTAACTTTTAAGCTGGAATATCAGTCCCCGAGGTTGGCCATAACATTGTAGCTGGACTATCAGTCCCCGAGGTTGGTTGTAACCTTGTAGCTGGACTATCAGTCCCCGAGGTTGGCTGTAACTTTTAAGCTGGAATATCAGTCCCCGAGGTTGGCCGTAACCTTGTAGCTGGACTATCAGTTCCCGAGGTTGGCCATAACCTTGTAGCTGGACTATCAGTTCCCGAGGTTTACTGTAACTTTTAGCTGGACTATCAGTTCCCGAGGTTGGCTGTAACTTTTAAGCTGGACTATCAGTTCCCGATGTTTACTGTAACTTTTAGCTGGACTATCAGTTCCCGAGGTTGGCTTCAACTTTTAAGCTGGACTATCAGTTCCCGAGGTTGGCTGTAACTTTTAGCTGGACTATCAGTTCCCGAGGTTTACTGTAACTTTTAGCTGGACTATCAGTTCCCGAGGTTGGCTGTAACTTTTATGCTCGACTTTTCTCTCACGGTTTACATGAAATATTAATTAAAGTATATATTGCCTGTTGTAAGGTAGTAATGGGTTATGTGGGCACCTTTCTATTGTCGCTGAATTTCTACAGATGCTTTGTTAGACTTTAGGCATACACTTTTATTACTTTAGTCTTTAGTACTACAGAGGAGTTTAAATGTATGGTTTATCGAAATTGTTTCCTATGTTTGGCTTTCCAAACAGTCCCAATAAAATTTTCATTTGGTGGTGCCTTACTTCGATTTGCCAATGATAACTTTATGTCAAGCGGATTTAATCAGGGTTGTTCTGATAAATGGTTTCAGGCTGAGAACACATCAATGTCTAGCTGTTCGGAGCTCTGTTTGTTAGGTTTG